CCCCAAAACCCCAAAACCCCAAGCCAAGGACATTTGAACAAATAAGAAAGAATAATTTAATTAAATAAAACCAAAATGAGGAAAACATTAAAAAAATTCAGATCACACGAGAAACTCATACCAGCCTTGAGGTCCTTTGATCAGAAAGAATCTATATTACAAGCTGCAAACAAGACTATACTTTAAAGCTAGAATTTCTAGCCTAGTATAATCGATTATCAAGATAAGTCACAGAGCAAAAACGCGCAGAAGATAAGAGTAACTAGAAACATTTTGAAGACATCATTAGACGCTTAATTTGCAAAATTCAAATAAGTTAGACTATCTAGTCCTCAAAATTTATTTAACACCTATGAGAACTAGCCCTATTTACATTCACAAACAGATTATGTTGATTTGAGTAATGAGTTTGGGAGAAAAACAGCTTCACCTGAGAGAAGAAGACAAGTTTTGCAAGAAGCGGTTTAAAAGAAAATTAGACTCCAAACAAAGAGTCAATTTTCATAAAATAAAAAAACAGCTAAATAGAAACGTTAAATTCAAACTCAATTGGAGCAATAAAGTTTTTATTAAAAAAATAGATTGCTAGAACAGTCTTCCCTGTAAATAAAACAGCAGAAGCAGTCAGTAAATGGCCAAAAATCTAACAAAGTCTTAATGTCTTTCATGCCAAACATTTCAGAAGACTATCAAGATGAAAACCCATAAGATGACAGTGTCAAGATAGCTTTAATTTCTTAAGTGCCTAAAATAGAGAAGAGATAGTCATTTGAAAATGAAAGCAGGACAAGCAATGCTTTCAATAGAAAACTCTCGCAGTTCACCTAAATCAAGCCAGTAACCCCTCAGAAATCAAACAGGAATTCTCCAACACCAGTAAACTACGAGAAGTATCTAAACCCAGCTATATCTTCTCTAGCATCATATAGAGTAGCCTATAAGTCAAAAAGCGGAAAAAATAAAGATATGAACCGAAAGCCTTCTTAACTCCACATTCACAAGCCTAGAGCAATGATAGCACAGGACATGGGCTTTCCTTAGTCTGCAAAATAAACGAACATTGTCAGTAGACACCAGAGTATTGACAAAATCTAGACTTCTGATTTGATGTCTGTCAGTCTCAATCATAAAATTATTGATGTGTCTAGCGCCTCAATAAGATTTGGGTCTTAATCACCCAGAAATTTCTTCGACTCTGAGAGTAGAAAGAGCAAAAGGCGAGAGCTCAATAATCCTTCGATTATTTCTCAAGATAAGTTGAGTAAGCGATATAAGATTAATCTAGACTCCCCAATTGAAGAAAATCCTACAAAAATATCAGAGTTTGACTTAAAACGTAAATCTTTTGGAATGTACTCTATCAAAAGGAACAAGCAATCAGTACTCTCTTAGAGGAGTAGATCCCCAATTAATCAGTCAGATAAAGATTTGAGAGATTGTGCAGAAAGGTCTGAACTTTAAAAAGAATTCAACACTCACCTTAACTTTTTCCAATAAATGCATACAAATGTGAAGATGTAGAATAACATTCTTCTAACCAGAGTAAAAGATAACTAGACAGATCTAGACCTACTTGAAGCTATAAATGCTTCATTGAAGTGGAAAACTGATAACATTTAGAAGGAAAATAAACTAACTGTAAAGAGTATTTAGGAAATAAAGCTAAAACTAGCGACTATAAAAGACTAATTAAAAAAAGCCTAAAGAGAGACAGACAAAGAACTGTACTCATAGACACTTTAAAGATAAAAAATCAGGTCATCTGTTCAATAAATTTAAAGAGATTTACAAGAAAAGCAAGAAGATTATGATGATTTATTAGCAGAGGACTAGGATAGAATAAATATTTTAGATAAAGCTTGTGATAATCAGAAAATACGATTTGAATTACTTAAGAGCACAATTTAGCATTAAATTATTCCAGTTGATTTGGAATCTGAGAAAAGCCAGGATTCAGAAACTAAGAAATCTACTAGTCATATTCAAAGCAAGATCTCTAACGCATCGTTATCAAGGGACTCCTAAATATAGATTAAATAGCCCTTACAGTTTGTCAAGATAGACCTCAGTGATGATTTATATGTTTAGCCCCAAGGGTAAGGTGGAATTATAGCTGATAAAGAGATAAAATCAAAGAAATTAAAAGATAAAAGAAGTAGTTTTGCAGCAGTTAACAGTAGTGTCACAGGAAGTAAGTATACCCTTAAGTCTAGCAAGTCAACATTGTCTTCCTCGCTAACTGGCAATAGCACTAAAAAGACCATTTTTGACCAGAAGAGATAATCACAATCTCAGAGATCCTAAAAGCAATTGAATGTATGATACCCTATGAACAAATTTTGACCACTCTGAAACAAATAAAATAAAATTTAATTTTGCTTATTTCTCACTGATTTGAAGAGGGGTTTTGGGGTTTTGGGG